CACATAAAGTGAATAGTTGAGTGGTCAACTATTTGTTCATTTGAGTGTTGCGTCTTTAATATAAAGGTTTATACTATTGACTGTGACGTCATACCGGTCTTCATTAAAAATGCAAATTCTAACTCGTTCAAACAAAATGTATATATTTAACAAGCATCATAATCATACTCATKTTTATTGTAATTTGGTGTCTTGTAATGGCCTGCTGTATTTAGCACTACGGGTTTAAACAAATACACCAAATTCCCACTGTGACATCACAGCGATAATTTAAAATCTTCATRACTTTATAAAGCAGTTGTATTAAGACCCTTTTTTTTTTGTATTACTGCTGTTGTTATTCGTTTTTATTGAAAGTACAATTCAGCAAAAAAAATTAAGGGGTAATTTTTTAATATCAATTTTTTTTTTTGAATATTTTAACGATTTTTTACCTTTTAACTTTTTTTGACATTTTTGGCATATCAATAAGTCGAAAAATTGGTACCTACGCTAAAATACGAAAATGCTGCGAAATCGCAGTGCTTCTTTTACAAATATCTGAAATAAAACTTTTGGGCTACTTTAATCCTAGGAAAAAAGAAAGACTGTAAAAACATCATACATAAACATATAAACATATACATGATATTTACCTGAAATAAATTTTATCGCCTTTCGAAATCCAGAATATRTCTTGAAATAGTTTGCATGACAATTTCAAGGAATTTTGTTGAAAATATAGTATTTTACTAAACATTTTTTCTATATTAGTGCTGAAGGATATAGAAACAAATATGCAGTGAATGCTGGTCTAATGAGAATATCTTTCAGAGCCGGTTAACAAGGCTAGCTTTTTAAAATTTTCTTTTCATTAATTCAAATATTCATGATCGATACGTATAAATGATCCTATATTCATAATGCATTACTTCTAGAACCTAACGGTGCTCCAGAAGCATTGCATATATTGAAAAACAATGCCACGACTTACACCGCTACTTGGAATGAAGTACCTGAACACTTGAGAAATGGTTTGGTAATAAATTACGAAGTGAGATGGATCATGATACGAAAAGGAAATCTATCTACTCCAGGACATCCGCCGTTTACTAGGTGTAAAGTAAATGGTTTCTCTTATACGATGCATGGGTTATCATTGTGTGCACAGTACAGTATATCTGTTAGGGCGTACACACGCGTTGGACCTGGACCATACAGTGCACCAGTCAACATAACAACACAACGTAAGTATCCAAAGCTCACAATTCAACGCATGTTGGAAAATAATATGTGGCACGCGCGCAGGAACTTTGGACTTRCGATAATTAGTAAAAATACGCAGGTGATTATAGAAAATCTCGCGCGCTGATTGGTCGAGAAACTCAYACTATCAGACGATAATCACCTGTAGCGATAATCCAAAATGGCGGCCAGCCGCTTTGTTGCTGTTACCGGAAAAAAATGCCTTTTATCTTCTTTTTTTTTTCTTTTTTTGAAATAATCACCTGTGTATTTATACAAATGCGAAGTGATTATCGGAGAATATTTATCGAAGACTCGCGTCTCGGTAAATATTCCCCGATAATCTTTTCGCCTTTGGCGAATAATTGTTAAATATTGAAGTGATAATACAATTTAAATGAAAATGGTATTYAATTTATTTTAATACTTCTGGCACGCAAATATTTAGTTAATTAAGCTTCCCGATTAAAAAAAATATGGTACAAACTACACCGTGTGGGTGTCTGAAGGAATTTATTAATTACTGTTCAGTGCCATTATTTCTTTTCATGTGAATCTGAGTTTTAGAAAGGGGGAGGCATTGCTGATTCTTTTTATGTAAGAGTTAATTACCGAGAACGAAGCCAATAAGCCATAGACATGTATATATGTATAGGCTTATTGCCGACGTTCGAGGTAATTAAGTATTTTATTTATTAAATGAGAAGGTTTTCTATCAAATGTTGCTCATTATAAATGCGAACGGTCTATATATAGTTATTAACCGGGTTAATAACTATATATTGACCTCGCATTTATAATGAGGGTTATAACAAAAAAGCCTTGTGAATAACAAAGAAAACCGTGTCAATKGAGAAATAAAATATAGAATGACATAGCGCTCTMTGTTGCGGCAGGACCTGGTGCACCATTACATTTTATAGCGTCGTTAAAGAAGAATGGCACTGTGCTACTTACGTGGGAGAAGCCCGCTAATACCAAAGATTCCCTTCAGTCAGTTTATACGRTAAGTTATTAAGTTATAAAGAAAATTGAAAGAAAAAAAGAGAAAAGGAAGCTGGAATTGATAATGTAGAAGGAAAGAGAACGAGAGATGAAAAAAAGAATARAGAAAGAATTATGAAAATATCATATGTTTGTTAGGACGAAGTTACTGTCGATCTCAAGAAACTGAAGCTCAAAGAAATATTTTCATCTGAATAGGTTTTAATTTTTTTCATAGGTTGAATGCGAAAGCTCAAAGTTTTATTGGAAGTCAAACAAGCAAAGAACAACAAGCCTCACTATCTCAAATCTTATACCAAAAACAAACTGCACATTCAAGGTGTTTGCCACTACAGAATGTGGTGACAGCCCTAAGAGCATTGCTAGAGTTACCACAGCAATAGACCGTAAGTATAACACTGAGTTAAACTCCATGTATCTTGATATTTTAGTGGAGAGCCGTTACCGTAACTTTCCGATAAGAAAGGTCTTTGGGTCAATTTAAATCGTAGTGGGGTTCACGGGGCATAAATATCATAGTAATTATCATTTTCTTTCTGTTCATGAACTCAACTATTTCATGAAAGTCACCCGAACGTGAAGATATTACAAATCACGATCGGGAGGCCGATCGAAAGGGGCCGTTAAAATTAACGTAAGGTGACTCCTTACAGATGGGCTACCTCTTTTGTTTTTGTTTTTCTCTTTGGAGAGAAAACAAACGACTTACCCATAGCACCAGGCCCGATCACCATCATAAACCACACGACTAGTACGTAAATTGCCAAAAAGTGTAGTTAGCTTAAGTACTCGATCCGTGTCAACTGTCGGCTAAAAATGCAGGTCGTGAAAGCAGCTTAGTCATAATATAGTGTATCAGTGTATCAGTATTTTAAAAACGTATTAAATTGGAGGGCGAGAGCCTCAAAGATCCTTAAATATAGCAGTCTCAGAACCGAAAAACGTCAATTATCTGGAACACAAAAGCAGCAGACTAAGCCRTCGAACCAGACAATCGTATCAAGGCCCAAGTAAGTGTAAAGTTCGATTTTATGATACGCACGGCTATTAATGATTAATGATTATGCATTGCTTTCAGTGCTGGTGTTGGACGAACTCGCACATACATGATCATTGATGCAATGCTGGAACAGGTCGAAAGCAAAAAGACAATAGATATTTACAATACTCCCATTTCGAGCTCGCCTTTGCTCAGTCTTAGCTACGATTGTGTACAAATGTGTTGTTTTCTTTTATTAAGGCCCATTGTATAGTAAGGAATGTACGTAATACGAAACAATACGAGTCGATTTAAATGCCACTGTTTTTGGTTCATTAGCTAAATATTGTAACACACAACGTCAACCGAGGCTAAGCAAAGAGAACTCGAAACTGGAGTATTACTTGACGGTTCAATGCTCAGGAAAGACAGGCCCTATATGGTTCAAAACTCGGGAAGATAAACACACAACRAAGGAAATGTTACAATGCTTCTTTAATAGCACGCAAAAGATCATCGTCATGACGAAAGAGGTTTGGTGGACGTTGATCAAAATGTTTATTGAGGCCTCCGAAATCAWTTTACTCGCGATGGCAAATTGTTCAATTCAGCGCATTTCGCAGATGATACTGATGATTTGATTAAACATATTTACACAGTGAATAATTACTGTTTCCTCAGCGGCTGGAATTTATTGCCTCATATGAATTAAAAGGAAAATGTGGATTTGGAAAGGAAGAGGAAAACACAAAGAAAAGCAGATATAAAAATATAGT